GGTTTTTTTTTTTTTTTTTTTTTTTTTCAATTTATCAATATTTAACACGTTTTACTATATTTTTTCACTTTAATTTCTCAGTTTCTTCTTCTTCTTTTTTTCGACAATATTCTAGACATTCCGGTGAGTCTCTGGTGATATTTTTGACGTCTAGCAAATATTCTAGACATTCCGACGACTTCCAGTGACGTTCAAAACATTTCGGCAATACTCCGGTGAATTTTTGATATTTTGGTGACTTTTCGGTGATGTTGGATATTCCAACGAGTCTTCGATGACCATCTGACGGAAGTCCGACGGTAGTGGGATGTAAGAGCATCTTTAATTTTTTTTAAAAAAAAAAGGATATTTGGGTAATAATTAAAAATATATAGGACTAATTGGTGCAAGTATTTTGTTTTAAGATTAGATGAATTTTGAACTTTTTGTATGAGACTTATCAGTAAGTTTCCCTAAATATTTTTTAATTGGTCCTTTTATCAATTGGGCCAAACAAAATTTTTGATAACCTTTAAACTAGCCTAAATTAATTGAACAAAATTGGGTCATTTTGAGTTTTTAATATAGTACGAAGCTAATGAATTTGGGAGCTTTTTTGGGCCTAATTTTTGGGCCCTTATGCACAGGCCTTACTAACAGTGGTGGAGCACATGGTGACCAAGGGGTCACGTGCCCCCCATGGATTTTTTTTTTTTATGTATATAAATAAAATTTTAAACAAAAATAATACTTAGAATAAAATGTTAAGGGCATTTTTAAATTTATAAAAACAATAGTAATTGTTTTATTGAAAATGAAGTGACTACAACAAATTATATTTTTATGTATGAAAATTTTGTGAAAAAATCAATATGAAGATAATATCTATCATTATTGATATGCAAATATAATTAATCTCACTATAGTTATATTAGCATGTGGAGTTCACCCTTCATTTGTTATTTTATTATTGGTTGGTGATATCATATGTCAATAATGACGTGATATCACTATTATATGAAATTTTTATTCAAATTTTTAAAAATTTGATTTATCTTACCATTATATGATTTATTTTACAACTTAAATATATGACTTTTTTACATTGTCCATGATACACTAGTCATATGTAATAATTTCTTTTCCATTTTATTCGAAATTAATTGTAAAATTTTATGTGAAATATTTTTATAATAATTTATTAAAGTTTTTGTACTTAATATTAATTCAAAAATTATTATTATCTTCTTATTGTTGGTTATGAAAAAAAAAATTAAAGTTGTAATTAATAAATGTCTCTCTTGATTTAGTTTCCTCGCTTCGCCGCTTCTTACTAGTCTTAGCTCAGGGCCAGCCCTACCTAGACCAAGTCAGTCATGACAAATTAATGTCTAGACTGGTTTTAGAAATCCTATTAACTTATTATTTTAATTTTTTTCTGTCAAAGCATTTTTCTTTTTGCGATATTAGAGATAAAAATATATCGGCATTCTCATTCAAGGTCTCTGATATTGTCAAAAATGTACCAGAAAGATTTCAATTTGCTTCATGTGGAATGTGATTGCAATAATTGACAAGTCATGGTAAATAGGAATGATTGGTTGTTGTGATGCTTTAGTTCAAAGGAGACAAAATAATTGATCTACTATTTACCTAATGCTGCATTTGATTGAAAAATTTAAAAAGTGATTTGAAAACAAAAATGTAAATAAAATATATTCTCTCAAATCTCTTCATAAATCTTTTAACCAAACACATAAATATAAGGATTGCGGAGTCTTGCTTACAATTTTAAGGTGGAAGAGTATTCCATATCATATGTAGAGGTGTAAATCTGGCTCGGTCCGGTCCATGTCGGGCCTCGCGGGTTCCTGCTAAAATTTGGGCCGGATCATGGGCCAAAAAATTAAGCCCAAGCCTAGGAATATTCGAGCTTTGGGCGGGCCTAACAAAATTTTTTTTAAAATTTTTTCTACCAAAATTTTATTATTTTTCATTAAAAAATACACTGGGCCTCGACGCGGGCCGGACTTCAGGCTGGGCCCTAAGTGGGCCAAGGGTCGGGCCAAACGGGTCGGCCCATGGACCGGGCCGGGCTTCAAAACGATGGCCCAAGCGCCCAAGCCCTAACTCAGGGGCTTGGGCTTAGGCCCAAGTAGGCCTAAATGGGCCAGGCCCATCTCAAGTCACGTGCTAGTTTCGGGCCGTCCACGGGTCATGGATCATTTTTACACCCCTAGTCATATGCTACACCAAAAAGCTCGAGGAGCAGTCATAATAGAATGGCTTTGCACAATATGGTAAAAAAAGAAAGGGATTGGCGAATGAATGCAAAATCAATGGCCCAAAATATAAGCATCAAGTCAAAGCCCTTGGGTAAGGGCGTAATTTTGGCCCGACCCGGCCCCATGTCGGGCCTTGCGGGCTCCTGCCAAAAAATCGGGCGAGACCGGGTCGGCCCATGGGTCAAAAAACTGGGCCCAGGCCCAAGCCCAGGCTCAGGGGTATTCGGGCTATGGGGGGGCCAGTGGGCTGGGCCCCTGGGCATTAGCCTGAGCTCGGGTTTTGGGCGGGCCTAAACAATTTTTTTTTTATTTTTTAAAATTTTTTCTATCAAAATTTTATTATTTTTAATTAAAAGTAACACTGGGCCTCGGGTGGGCCGGGCTTTTGGGCGAGCCTTGAGCAGGCCCATGGGCGGGCCACAGGCCGGGCCGGGCTTCAAAACGATGGCCCAGGCCCTAGCCTAAGGCTTAACGGGCCGGGCCTACCTCGGGCCGCGGGCCAAAATTACACCCCTACCCTCGGGTCACCTTTTTTTGTTTTAGTTTTTAGAATTTATTTTTCAAAAAATTTTATTTTTACTAAATTTTTTAAATATTTTTAAATATATATTTTTTTAAATTTTTAGACGCACCTAACATAAATATACTTAAAAAATATAATATTTATAATTTTTTTTTAAAAAAATTTACTAAATACCAAAATATTTAAAAAAAAAACAAAAATTCACATTTTTCATATTTTTATATATTTATTAATTTTTTAAAATATTTTTTTATAAATATTTACTATTTAGATACATCTAAATAAAATACATCCAAAAAAATAAAAAAAAATTAATTAAAATTTTAAAAATATTTACTAAAAAAAAAAAAAATTCAATTTCCAGATTTGACAAATGGATATGAAATCGATGGTCAAAAATTATATGTACCCAATCAAGGATACAGAATAGATACGTTCACTATTCTGTATGATTGCGTTCTCATGTGGGTTATATATTATCATATATATGAGTATAGCTTTTCCATATGCTAAAGAACTCAAATATATAACAAGAGATGGTAAGAGTTAGTGAATATCCGAAAGCTATATGCACTTTTATGCTTGTATTGTTTATACTGATATGCTTTGGAGCATGTGGAATTGAAGCACAAACTAGACGTATTCCCCCTGATGAAAGTAAGAGGCCTTCTATAATTTCAGTTTGTTCATTTCTATTTCATCTTTCTGTGTTATTTTATTTTTTGATTGTGAGTATGAAGAAGAGCTTCATTTCAAGTCTTAACACGGGACCCCTCAGACATCCCCAAATTACTTTTGTTTAGTTTAGTTTTTCATTGGTGGCTAAAGGCCTGGAGCCATTCCCAATGACAAAACTGCTTTTCAGATTCAAAGCTTTTGGATGGAGCATTTTAACAATTACAAAGCTTTTGGAAATAGTGGTGATCTAACATCCTTGTTTGGCAAGTTGGCAAGTTGACTATTTTAATAAGCTAAAATTTTTGTATTTGGGAAGATGGTTGGATTTTTTTTTGTAGTTAAATGTGATGTTTGTGAGAAAAAAAGTGAAATAATTATGGGTTTGATGTGACATTTTGTCTTATTGATTATTTTAGTCTATTTTATTTTTTTGTGAATTTTAGCCTAAAATTGGCTATTTTAGCCTTTGCCAAACAAGGCTAATAATATAGTATCAAACTAGTCAGAGCTTTAGTTACTGGGAGGTTTTGGGTTCAAGTCTGTTTGTTTGCATTTGGTTTCCTGTTTGGTATGTTTGCTTGAACTATGCTTGTTTGTCTGTTTGTCTCTCCACGTTAGAGAGGGTGTTAGATAGCTTGATGTACATATTGGGTCCATTTTCTAACTGTTTAAACTTTTGGGACTAGTAGTGATCTACCATGATGATCTCATCCAAAGGTTCCATATATGACTATTTATCATGTATAACCAATTTGTCCATTAAACAAAGTTCACCTTCTTTACATATGCATGGACTTGATTTTCAGCTCAATTTGTAAATATTAAGGTGTCCAACCATACTTATAGTGTTCATACATAGATATTTCTCCATGTTATCTCTTACTGCTTTAAAAGCCAACATGGTTTTGATTTCTGCAGTGGCAGCTCTTGGTGAAATAGCTGAACAATTGGGTAAAAAAGACTGGAATTTGAATCTGAACCATTGTGATGAAAACTTCAACTGGTACACACCAATAGTCCCCACACGCATATCTAACAGTACTGTCAACTGCAACTGCTCTTCTGCTGATGAATGTCACATCAGTGCCATGTATGTTCCTCCTTTTTTTTCTGTTTTTAAATATACATCTTTACGTATTATTCAAGTGCATTTTTCCCTGAAGATTTTATTTGTGATTGGCTATGATGTTTGAATACTAATGTGTTAAAACTTTTTTATGACGGTTAAAAATCCAAATTCTACTTTGTATAGACTGTAGACAATAAAAAGAGGTCATATCCAGTGTGTGATGTGATCCCAATTTAGATGACACACTACAGCAACATGGTTGACATTTTTTGCATCACTTCTCTTTTTATCCACCATAATAGCAAGAATACCATTCCCAGTTTTACTGCTATTTTCACCTACTACATATTACTTTTGGGGCTTAATATCTTGTCGAATGTCCCTATATGTTGGTCATATATGCAGGCACATGGGTTTTGGCTATATGGAGTATTATATATTTGCCTAATTATTTGTTATTGTTAGTTATATAATGGTAGGCCTTGACGCTCCATTGTGACCTAAGTGTCATGGATTTGAAATACGGAAATAGCCTCTCGTATGTAGGGGTAAGCTTGCAGCCTGTGCACATTTAACCCTTTCCAGACCCTGCAGTGGTGGGAGCCTCGTGCATTGGGCTGTGCTCTCTCATTTGACAGTTTTTTCAATGAAGTCACAAGCTTATAATCTTTCAAAGTGTAGATGGTGGGCAGTAGAAAGAGACTTTAATCAAAATGTCCAAATCCTTCACATGGGGACCAACCTATAATTATCATGTGAGCTACTCTATTACCATATTGTCTGGCATAATGGAAGTTCTTTTCAGGTGTTCTAAAATGAGAAGTTATACTTATGTAGTGAAGAATTTTTTTTCCTCTAATGTTATCAATCATGCATGTTTGTTTTTTGGATTTCTTAAACCATGTTATTGTTCCTAGCTCAATATTGGTCTGTCACTTTTTATTTATGCCATGCACTCTTCATGGTTTCCATGAAAATATATTCATATTATATTGCTAATTGCTAATTTGCTAGGCTGGTTGGGAAAATCAAGGGTATATTTTGATGTTGAGTTATGCTAGAGACTTCAAATAATCTACCAAATCTTCTACCAAACCTCTCACATGGGTGTGGAACCTATACACATGTGGGTTTGTCTGGGTCCCATACCATGTGAGAGGTTTGGTAGAAAATTTGGTAGATTATTTGGGATTTATAGCATTTTCCTTTGATGTTCCATAGAACTGGAATGACTGCTAATAGTATTCATAGTATTTCAAGGTGGAAATCTAACATCTTGAGCTTGCAAAGTGACAAGAATAAATTGTAGCCAATCTACAAATGAAATTTCAAAATTATGAATAAGGGTACGTGATGAAACAGTAAACAAAGAACCACTCTAGGGTTTCTGCAATTCTCTCAACTCAATCAATGTTAATTCAATCAATGGGAGTATCTTCCTTACACAATCCCATATATATATGTTCCATAACCGTAACCAAATAAGGAAATTAAAGAAAAATGGGAAATAAATTAAATGGAAACAAATCCTAAAACTAAATCTCCTTCTATGCTGTCAATTGGCACCTCTTGCTCCTAAAATATGTCTTCAAGCCTTTCCTCTCCATCAGTAAGTTTTCTATTCTTCGTTAGGTGACCTCATTTCAGCTGAGTAAATCTTCACTTCAAATACTAAAATGTTTAATAGGTGCATTCAAATTCAAGGGGAAGGCAAAATTCACACTATGTGATTGACAATACCTTGGTAGTTAGACAGCTACTCCATCGACTTATTATTACATTGTAGTGAATTAGTATGTAGGAACATGAGGTGGCTTTCATTTCAATTTTGAACTCATACATGGCACATACTGCTGATTTACATACCTAATTACATATGTATATGGGTGCCTCACACAGATGTTTTGAACATTGGCATTTCTAAACTCTTGCATTGGCTCTGTGTGTACACTTATTACTTGGAGTTTTTCATGGTTTGTGCTTTTAATTATTTGTTGTTAACTGCTATACATTGCTGCATTTTGTAATTGTTTGTTTTCGTGGTGATGACTCTTTCTATCTTGTATATGGTATACAAATCTCTAATTCAATAATTAATAATTGATTGCTGGAAGAATTTATCTACTTCATTTACAAGGGTTGAATGTAACATTTACTTACTGGAAAGTATCCTAAACCAAAATTTGAATCCAAGTCTTTCTGTTTCCTTGTAACAGAATTCTCAAAGGGCAGGATCTTTCTGGTGTCCTACCACGATAGTGAAGTTACCCTACCTTAAAATTATGTGGGAAGAGCTTCCAAGTTCCAAATTTATGTTTGTTCTTCATATCTGTTAACTAGTTTTTATGATTCCATCATGTTCAAAGTGCTATCTATTGTGTACAGTGATTTATCTCGCAACTATCTCCGTGGTTCTCTTCCCCCTGAATGGGCTTCTACCAAGTTGGAATATATGTGAGCAATATATGCACTTCTCTGTTAGTTTCAGTTTCCTAAAATTAACGAAGTGAAGCTTCTGTAGGTATCTTTCTATAAATCGCATATCAGGAACAATTCCAAAGTTTTTGGGAAGTATTACCAGTCTCACCAATGTGTATTCTCCCTCTCTCTCTCTCTCTCTCTCTCTTGCATGCATGTGGATATGAACTATGAACGTCGGAAAAGAACAAATTTTCAAAGTTTACATGATAAACTTGTATCGTAATTTTGAAAGACGTTGAATTTTCAGGAGCTTCGAAAGCAACATGTTTAATGGAACTGTTCCAGCAGAGCTCGGGAATTTGGTCGACTTATTGTATCTGTGAGTCCTGTCCTACATCACCTCTTCAATATAATTCATATATCTTTATCCAACCCTAGATTTTCAACAAATTGTGCAATTCATCCCAAATTTATATGTTTATGTTGGTTACCCCCTTTGGGCACTGTAGCAATTTTAACTCTAACAATCTCACTGGGGAGCTGCCAAAGGAATTCAGTAATCTGATAAATTTGAGAGAACTGTAAGTTCATTAGTAATCTTGTGCAGTTTCATAATTATAAATTTGTGTCGTGCCACTGTTTTAGGTAGTTTTCAATCTTTTCTTTGTTTTCAACTTTGGGTAAAAGCAGTAGGTTGAGCAGTAACAATTTGAATGGAAAGTTACCCAGTTTCCAGAGTTGCAAACAACTTAGAATACTGTAAGTGTTTCTTCGTTTTAAGCATTCAGTAACATTTGAAAAGATAAAAATTATAGTGCAATTTTAATTCATTTGATATCTATCATGACAGAGAGCTTGAAGCAAGTGGGTTTGAAGGACCTATACCTTCTGACATTTCTCTCTTGCGTAATTTAACTGAAATGTAAGTTCAGATTTTTGTGGTCATATTTCTTGGAATAAGTAATTTTAGTACTATGCTTTTAAGCTTTTTAAATCAAGATAGATATTTCTGAAGGCAAGTATTTTTAATGGGATCTCTGAGCAGAAGGATTACAGACTTGAACGGAGGGGCTTCAGAATTTCCAAAGCTAGAAAACATGACAGCCTTGGAAAAATTGTGAGTCATACCAAGGATTGAAAAAAATCATATAAAGTATGCTAGTCTTGACCTCATCAGCAACATTACTTGCATAAATTTGGTTTTCTTTGCAGGATGTTAAGGAACTGTGACATATCCGGAACAATCCCAGTCTATCTAGCAAGTTTTCCTTTAAAAGTATTGTAAGTCTCCTACTCCCTTATTATTCTTTTTATATTTGATAAGTCCTACTTTCTCATAATTCTTTTAATTTATTCTAGATTTATTTCATGACAGACTATCACATCCCGGACTATTACTAGTAACGTACTATTTTGAGATAGATATATGTGTGTGTGAGTGTGTTTTGTATGAAATCGAGATGACATACCTGAACATACAAAATTTTATGTATAAGAATATGAATGTGGACTTTTCAGGGGGTATTTATATGTATCGACCGTAGAGTAATGTTGTATAAACATAATTTTTTAAACATAATTTCCATGTTGTTTGATATATACGTGTATGGGTTCTGCTATCTTCTTACTTGAATGAAGTGCGATAGAATTGTAACCACTTCTATTAAACATTGATTGTCCCCACCCTCTTTATACACATTTGGAACTGCGCTCTTACAAGTGGGTGTGCATAGAAATAAAGGGGGTGCATTTAGAATCACCCAGAAAGTATAGCATTCTAAGGTTGGGGGACTTCCATTGTTATTCTTATACACAAAAGGTAGAAGAATGGAAGGGGAAGAGGGGGACCTGATGTAGCTAACCACAAAATTTATACCAACCTGATGTAACGACTTGATTATTCACTACATCATCATGGTCACTTAATCATATATATATATATATATATTTTGGTGATAAATTGGTCACTTAATCATCTATTGCCATCACAAACGGTCGATAATTATGGCTGCCGTGTATTAATTGGTTATTGGTCATCATGGAAGAGAGTCGGCGTTTTGCAAATTGTTTAAGCAGGAAAAGAGATGAGAAATTTGATGGATAGAATTACGACCATAAAGTACCAAGGAAACTAAAAATGAAGGTAGTTTGATCTAAAACTTAAGATAATGAGTGTAAGCCAAAATTTGGTCAGCCTAAACGACATAAAAATGAATTGGATCTTATAAAAATAAGGATATAATAGTCAATCAACTTTATTATAGTTCCATGTGCTAGTCACATGACCTTTTTCCACCCAGTACCTAGCTGTGTGCAACAGTTGGACCAATTTGATAGAAATTGAGATTTTTGGTTTTATGTGTTGTAATTGAAACTATAACAACCAAATTAAAACAAGAACGAAAATATCTTAAAATGTGATTTACACTTTTAATACAAATCTTGATACATCATATTGATATAGTTTTCAGAAAATCTTCACTAACAAATACATGACTCAAGAAGAGTAGAACCAAGTGGATGTTATATTACAAAATAGAGTGAGTGGGTTAGTTGCATTTGTAAAAGGTTTCATCTTGAAAATAATTAAAATTCATAGAACATAAAATGTCTTGCTTTTGGAAAGAAACTATGTTCATGTAAAGCAATGGATTATTAATATTGTTATTAATATTTGAATTTTTTTCGTTCTACATTGTAGACACCCCATTTTTGACCGACCTTAAGACTCAGACGTCACCGATTGAGCGCTTGGTGATGTTGCATAATGTGCTCGTTCAGAAGTTTCAGACACACGGCCGTGAGCCCTGCCTCCGGACTTCCGAACCCTTTTCTGTGCCTTGTCTCGGTTTGCGAACCAGACTCGGTTTTCTTCTGTTTCTTTTCCTAAGGGAAGGGAGAGGTCCCGTAGACCGTCTCTCAATGTCCGTAGGCTACATTTGGTGGCCGTAGGCCATTTTGCCCATTTCGGAGTCCGGTTCCCGTTTTTCGGGACCGTAGGCCGTGTGCCTCGGTTCGGGACCGCTTAACCATCTCCTATTGCTCTGATTTTTGGCATACATCTCATTTTATCCCTTTTGAGGGACACTGGGGTCCCGGAAACCCACTTCGTGGCCGAACGCCATTTTCGGTGCTTAACAGCCCATTTTGGGATCCCGAACTGCGTGTTTTGGTCCCGAGCATTCGTTTTGCAACGGTTTTCGTTCATTTTTGGCAGGTACCTCTGTTTTATCACCAGGGAGGTCACTGAAGGGTGGGAGGCCAGCAATTGTTGCAGCAACCAGTTATCTCTCCTCCGGAGCCTCCCGGCGCCCGTTTTTTCCAACTTCCGGGCTAATGTTGAACACCCTAGGGTTAGTGTTGCCAACTTTCAACCACATATTTGTGATGTACACACATGAGAGGCCCCTAAAAGTTGGTGGCCGGCCATTAAGGTTACCTGACCCTTTTGACCCCTTTCTTCCGGGCTAATGTTGAACCCCTTGGACTTTTTTTTTCTTAACTTTGAACCACTATCTGTGATCTACACACATGAGAGGCCCCTAAAAGTTCATGGCCGGCCAGTAATTCAACTTGACCCTTTTGACCCCTCTTTCCGAGCCAATGTTGAACCCCTTGGACCCACTTTCTCGGACTTTTAACCCACATGGTTGTGTTGTACACACATAGGAGTACCTCCCCAGTAGCTGGCCGGCCAGAAAAATCTCATTGAACCTTTTGACCCTAGCCGGCCGGCTAGGTGGTGTGGCCGGCCGGCCACCTCCAGCAAAAGTGATAGGCCGGCCGTGTTCCCTGCACTGTGCACTTTACAGCTGTGGGGCAATATCCCCCAGACAAGATATTTATCCGGGGGATATTTTTGGGGGAATTTTGCTCTCCTTTTCCCCCACCTTTACACCCCCTTTTGAACCCTTATAACCAGCTGGTGGCCTCCTTTGTTGGGGTTGGAAAACTCTTCTTCAAGCTCCCATATAGAACTCCATCTCCATAGCTCTCAATTCTTCAAAAAACCCTAAGTCCCTAACCTTCATTCCTTCTACACCCACAAGCTCTACCACCACCACCTCATTTCCAGCAAAGGGAGGTTTCTCAAAGGCAAAAGAAGCTGCAAATCCATCCAAGAAGCAACAAAAGCTTGAGTCTTCAAGGGTAAGTAATACTTTTACCCTTTTGACCCTTTTTCTTGATTTATTTGTAAGCCCCCTTCCTTTTTGTTTCAAGCTCGCCCTAACTGAAAAGGGCCCTATTTTGAGCTCATCTTCATTTTTCATTAAGGGCTCAACCCTTTTGAGCCTCCATAATACACTTGCTTCATTGATCCTCTTGTATGTCATGATTTTGCATGCTATTTTTGGCCCATGGCAATTTATTTTCGAGCATGTTGTAAACTGATATAAGGCTTATTTTGAGCCCCTCTTCAACATTGGAGAAGGGCTCAACATTGTTTGGTGTCTCCATGTGTCACTTGTAGTTATGTCCCTTTATTTGGCCCCATTTTTGCATGAATTGGCACCCCCTTTGCTTCTGTTTTTGGACCTTGGTCCGAACTGAAAGTGGCCTTATTTTGGCCTATACTTCATGTTTCTTCACACTTTTTTCCTGTTTGGTGATTATTTTGTATACTTCATGTTATACACCTTTTGAGCCTTGTTTTGCATCACATTTTTAGCATATTTTATACTGATTTTTGAGGCTGCCATATACTGTAAATGTTCATATTTTTGGTCCATCTTCAGTGTTGTAGAAGGAAAGTTTTTCATTTGGGTTTTGCTTATGCCACTTGCTTCATTACCCCTCTTTTGGCCCCTATTCTTGCATGCTATTTTTGCCATACCTATGCTTGCTGTTTGGCCATGTTTATAACTGTGAAAGTGCATCTTTTGGGACTGTATAGCTTCTGTCTTTGCATTGCATGCCCATATTGTGCATGTTTAGCATAGCTATAGGCCATTTCGGGTGCCTAATGTCGCATTTCGGGACATTTCCTTGCATTTCATGTCATTTCGCTTCATTTCGGGACTGTTTTCCCCCATATTTTAATGCTGAAATTCCATTAGTATGCTTGCTAATCGTTGTTCCATGTTGCATCATATTTTGTCATCGCCTCGGTTTGCGTGCCCGTGTGCACGCATTTCGAGGCACTTCATTTTATCCGCCGGCATCCCATGTGAGTGTGGCTGAGGCTCACTCATGTTGGTATAAGCCCTTTATCATTTCCATGCCATTTCATCGCATTTTGCATTGCCTCGGTTTGCGTGCCCGGTGCACGCATTTTGAGGCACTTTCATTTTTATCCGCCGGCATCCATGTGAGTGTGGCTGAGGCTCACTCATGTTGGTATAAGCCCATTTATCATTTCCATGCCATTTCATCGCATTTTGCATTGCCTCGGTTTGCGTGCCGTGTGCCGCGCATTTTCGAGGCACTTCATTTTTATCCGCCGGCATCCTATGTGAGTGTGGCTGAGGCTCACTCATGTTAGTATAAGCCCATTTATCATTTCCATGTCATTTCATCACATTCCGCCATCGCCTCGGTTTGCGTGGCCGTGTGCACGCATTTCGAGGCACTCCATTTTTATCTGCCGACATCCTATGTGAGTGTGGCTGAGGCTCACTCATGTTGGTATAAGCCCATTTATCATTTTCATGTCATTTCATCACATTCTGCCATCGCCTCGGTTTGCGTGCCCGTGTGCACGCATTTCGAGACACTTCATTTTTATCCGCCGGCATCCTATGTGAGTGTGGCTGAGGCTCACTCATGTTGGTATAAGCCCATTTATCATTTCCATGCCATTTCATCGCATTTGGCATTGCCACGGTTTGCGTGCCCGTGTGCACGCATTTCGAGACACTTCATTTTTATCCGATGGCATCCTATGTGAGTGTGGCTGAGGCTCACTCATGTTGGTATAAGCCCATTTATCATTTCCTTGCCATTTCATGACATTTATCATCGCCTCGGTTTGCGTGCCCGCGTGCACGTATTTCGAGACACATATCATCGCCTCAGTTTGCGTGCCCGCGTGTACGTATTTCGAGACACATATCATCGCCTCGGTTTGCGTGCCCGCGTGCCCGCATTTCGAGACACATGTCATCGCCTCGGTTTGCGTGCCCGCGTGTACGTATTTCGAGACACATATCATCACCTCGGTTTGCGTGCCCGCGTGCACGTATTTCGAGACACATTTTGCCATTGCCTCGGTTTGCGTGCCTGTGTGCACGTATTTCGAGACATCTCATTTTCATAGCATTGTATATGTTAGGATTGTATCTTAATCGTATTTCACGCATATCATGCATATTGCATCGTGTTTGGGATAGGAGTTAGCCCGGACACGGGAAACGAGGTACATTTGGTACTCCGAGTGACGGAATGTGTCTCAATTCCCCCAGTCGCTGACACTCCGGATTATCCATGATGGAGTTAGGTTTTAGCTGTGGTTTCATGTGCATTCATCCTATATTGAGTTGTGCATTTCGACTCCTCGGCCATCATGCCTCGGTATGCGTGATTGGTGGCACGAGGTTCGAGACATGCATATATCTGTGCAAATACATTGCTATGCCCCTTTCCTGCTCTCTTTTGCAGCAAAATCAGGAATCAGCGACTTTTTGGGGCTTGGCACGCATTTCAAGAACAGATGTAAACAGAGGCTAATTGGGGCATTCCGGTGGATTTCCGCGCAAAGACAACCCGGACATGCATCATCCATCAGAAGCAAGGCAGCCCCTGGCTTGCACGCCAGTTTTATCTGCTTTCTTAGTTAATTCATTAATTAATTAGGATTCTGTAATATTTTGGAATGTAATATTCTTTTATTCGGAACTGTAATATTGGGACTGTATTATTTATTCGGACCCTCCGAGTGAGGGCACAACTGTAATAAGTGTGCGTGAGTGTGATGTATGTCTTCCAACCCCACGTCTTTCTCCCTTTTATTTACCCGCTTATGATGGTTAGATTAGGGCATGTTTCAATTAGCATACAGTATGATAGCATGTTTGCATTCATTCATCTGTCTTGCATGCACCGGGCTCGGCGCATCATACTAACTGCATTGTATTTTCAATTCCAAATTGAATACATGATAGTTGTAGCATTCCATATGCCATGTTTAGAATAGACAGCCTGCTATAGTTGCATCTTTGCATGTGTTGCATTAGGCATTTCCGTATAATTAGGATCATGCATGGATTTCTAATGAGCTTCTGTTTTGGCTTGGAGTACTCGGGTGAGTTTTAGCTTAGTTCCTTGCATGCGTGTGTGACTGGCCATGATAGCATGCTTACCATGAGGCTATGTGCTTATCTGATATACCTGCCTGAATGCCTGTGGGTGAAGGTTGGGTTATCTGAATTGAAATAAATCATCAAATGTTTTAAAGCCTACCTGCGGGTAGCAAACCATTTTCAAAAACAAGCATGTAATGTTTCGTTCCAATTCAGGCGACCCGGTCTATATTTGTATGCTGTGAGCATCACATAGTAACCTAGGCTAATAACCGGGATAAGAACTCACAAAGTTTTCAAAAATAGATATCACGGTTAGTAGAGGCCGATCTTTGATCGGGCGAGCGGGGGTGCTCACGAAGTGACCTTCCCCAATCGTACCCAAGTTCCCGAGCCGAGGCAACTTTGGTGATGACGGACACGCGGCCTTAGGCAAACGAGTCAGGGTTTCCTAAATTTCCCAAAATAAAATATTGAGGTGGCGACTCTGTATCTGGCAAAGCAGTCCATGTTTGGCACTTCTTTCAAAAAACACGATTTGCCGGATTTGGACTCTTTGGTTCAGACTTAGAACCGTGACTACAAAGTCGAGTCCGAGCTGTAGCGAGGTCCCCCGCGGGCTTGTTACATACATATATTTTTATGAATTTAGAAAAGTTACGATAGGGTACCTTGAGATATAATATGATGGTGGGCGTTGGAGAACAAGGTAACCAAAATGTATGTTGATATGATAAAAGCATGCATGATAAAGTTGTTACTACAATTAGATCACCTACAAGAGAAACTAGTGAATTTTCCATCATTTGAGGACTGCATGAAGGGATAGCTTTGAGTCTTTACGTGTTTGCCTTATTCATGGATGAATTAATTAAATACATTTGATGATATCCCATGGTATATGTTGTTCACAAATGATATTATTTTAATGGATGAAACTAAGGAATTTACACTAAATTACAAATCTATAGAGAAGTACTCGAGTAACAGAGGCTTAAAATTTGTAAAAATAAAAATGAATATATGGAAGGTTAAATGCCACTTTATCTCCCTATGGTTTACTTCAAGTGCAGTTTACCCCTCTAACATTTGGAAATAAACACATTACCCACTATGGTTTGTGGATTAAAATGTATTGCTTGTACCGTTAATGGCTTAACATCATCGTGTAAATCAGACATTTTCCTCATTTTTTTTATGACTCAAAATGCACTTTACCCTCTTGTGCTTTACTTCATGTAATTCTTCTTATGATCAATCTCTTATAGTTCTTTGCTTTATGAAAATTGTGTTGTTATTTTGTGGTAGGGACCTAAGCTTCAACAGGTTGGAAGGAAATATCTCTAACTTTGATGGAGCCACACGATTACAGTACATGTAAGCAATTACATTTAGGATGACAAGATGTCCTAATTTCTTAAGCATGGAAATCCTTCCTCATTCATTTGTATGATTTTTCTTTCAATGTTGACAAAGAATCCCTCTTCTATAATTGTGCTGATAAGAATGTGATTGGAATTCACTTGTAGGTATTGTGCCAGTTGAAGCATTGATACCTGCTTGTAGTAATAAATGGAAGACACAAGAAAATAGAATTTCAAGAATAAACATGAACACAAACACTTGTAGTGCATCCAACAATAAGGCTATGTCCATGGGTGAAGACGATTAAGAACATCCACTATATAGTGTACATTGTTTTCCTCAAAAACTATACCCAATTTGAAAGACAACGAGAGTAAGAGTCCCACATGCCAAAACTCTCCAGATTTGAGATGGTACCTACAAAAACCAAAGAACATGTAGAAAATTAACCCCACGTGCACTGAATTTCCTAACACTAGACCCTTTTGTAGTCTTAAACCAAACTCCTAGTTGCACAAGGAACATTGAGTTCTCGACACACAAGAATGATTCATAAAAGGAAATACAGCCAAATTGGAATTTGAGACAATTCACAAAAATCTTCACTTTAAATCAAATTTTGCAAAACCACGAAGCCAACTTCTCCACTAAACTTCATTCTTCACAAACTAGCATTGGGGCCTTCACCTTTCCCAATCAAGATAATCCAATATCCAACAAGATTGATACAATGAAAGTTTAACAACCAGTACCTCGGTAGCATTTTCACCTTGACCTCTTATATACCACAGAAATTTGCTTGTACTCAACCACAAGGAATCCCGATGCCCACCCCACAAGCAACTTTGTCTTCAAGTCAATTGTGCGTACTGAATATCGCACTAGATAATTGTGGATCGGAGCTCCGCACTTGATTGGACTATCTAGGAACTGAGACCCTGCAACAATGAGCACCGTTAGAGCTGCCCGGCTGGAGTTGGCCAGATAACCCCTCAGGTGTGGAAGTAAGTGATCGGAGAAGATGGAAGGTGCTCTCTAAGTGTAGAGAGTTGTGTTTAAGTGAGTATAGTTCAGTTCAACTTAGTAACCTTCAATGTGAAGTGAGTGTAGTTTATATAAAACTCCTTGCTTGTTGCCAAAGATGGTTTCATGGAGCTTTGGTGCTGCCAGGTTTCCTTTGGCATTGTTCAAGGTAGGGGACCATCTGGTAGTTGACAAGGGGTGTATATACATACTCATTGTAGTCTTGCTGATAACAAACCACATTCCCTTGATTAACCATTTCCGTAATTCTAGCTGAAGGGGACCAGCTAAGGTGTCAACTTGCACATGCATGCACTCACAGCTTTCACGTTTCTCTGAGAGGTTCCCTCGGTTCGGTACCGTTGTGCCTCGGTTCGGCCCTCTAGGAGATTGCTTGTAGAGGTGGGTTGGCCTAGTAGAATATCTTTATATGAGCTTGGCCCACTTCGGTTCGGTCCAAGGATCAGGTCCTGCAGCTCGGCTCAGCCCAGCTTCGTGGCTAGACTGACATTTCCATTGCAGGTTGGGCCCAAGTGCTTGAGGACTTGGGCAGATTGTTGATAATGGAATTGGGCTTGATTGGCTTATCCGCATGTTCACTTGACCACTTGGATTTGGGTTTCGGTAGATTGGGCCAGCCCAAGGCTTGGATCCAGCCCATTTCATATGCAGCCCCTTCATTTGCCCCCTAGCTTGCGCTGAGGTTCCCCTTGGGGGGAGCTACTGCTCTGTACTCCAAGCATTGCGTCGCTTCGGATCTGCTCCAGTTCGGCCTTGGTGACAGTTCAATCCTGACACACGCGCCCTGCACGAGTCCTTTCAAGGTGATGCGTGGCGGCACTGTATTGGCGCGTAGAGATAATCCGCCGACCCTGTATAGAAAGGCGTGATTCTGTTTCTTCGCGCCGGTTGTGTGTAATGAATGCCCTAGGGGTGTCAATTCAAACCCCTTTGTCTATCAAACCCCTCCGTCTACCACCAAAACTTCAAAATGAAAACCAGAACTCAGTCGCTCTTCTGCCTTGGTGACGACGGAGCTCTGCCTAGGCACTTATTGCCATTGTTGCTGCCGTTCTTGTTCTAGTCTCAATAACCTTTGCTTGTAGCTATCTCCTCGTCGAACCTCTGTAAGTTCTTCTGAAGCTTCCCTTTTCTTTCTTTTTTCTGTCTTGGTCGCCCTTCTTGGCCCTTACGCCATTGTTTCTGGCGACTAGCTCTGTTACTTGTTTAGTTGTGTTTTATTCTTGCTTTGTTAGGTCTAGATAATAGGTAAATTCCATGCATTGGTGGATACCCCTAAGGCCATGGCCTTGTTCCGCCAAGATTATGGTATCCGTAACGACGTTACCCTTTCGTTGGCGAAGGTTGATGCCAAGCGCATGGGTACAAAACACACTGTTGCCTTCCCCGTTGCTGCTATTGTTGAAAGAGGCGTTCGGTTTCCTCTGGAGCCGTTAGTTCGTCGCTTTCTGCATCAAGTCCAATTTACCCCTATGCTTGTGTTTATAAATTTGATCCGAGTTGTCTATGGTGTGTGTGCTTTGAATAGACGATTAGGCTTGAATCTGGACATATGGGACATTCTGGGTTGTTACACCCTTTCTCACAATAAAGACCACAGTACCTACTACCTTCGAGTTCGCTCTGCCGATTGCCATCTTGTCAACATAATGATGATTTCCTGCAAGTCGGGGGAAACTGGGAGTTCCCTGCTGGGACTGAGTTCCAATTTGAACGGATGCCTCAAAAAGATGGCTACCCAGGTCTGAGTCTTGTGTCCTAGTGTCCTAGTGTCTTTGTACTTCTGTTTTACTTGAATATTGTGCTAATGTTGTTCTTCATCTTTGCAGAGGCTTCTCGTTTCCAACGTAGGTCGAACCAAGAGAACGTTGAGGCGATCAAAACTGTTTTGAGACACAAGAATAGGTCTGCCCCCGAACTGTTGGAATATCAAGCGACTTATCGTTCCACAATCCTGAAAAAAGTAAGGCTTGCTGCATCCCTTCTCGATTCCGATATTGAAACTAACACACCTCCTGCCCCCTTAGTTACAAACCGTCGTCGTGGTCGGAGTTTATCTGTTGAGAGGACCCCTTCTCCTGCCCCCAGATTCACAGAGGGAGGGTCGATGTCGAAGAGAAAGGTGTTGGTAGACTTAGAGGCGGAAGCTTTTGGCTCTTCCTCTGCTCTGCAGGCTCCTCTAGCCAAGGCTAAGCCAAAAAGCCTTATGGATGTAAAACTGGAGATAGGGGCCTCTGGCGCTTCTACCGCTGCTACCGAACCTGCTGCTTCCATTGCTAAAAGGGCAAAGAAGAGGAGGAGGTGGGAGACCGGCAAGGCTATAGTTGGAGAGACCTTTGAAGATCCTATTGAGGAAGAGACTTTTGAGAAATGAGAGCCGCCTATGCTTCACCAGGGCAGGCCTATTTCTATTTCTGACTTAGTTGTTGCTTCTGGAGACTTTGCTTTTGATTTGACCAATACCCTATTAATGCCTGTTGATATGACAGATCATAACGGACCTCGGGACATTCCAATCTTGAAGGGAACCCTTCAAATGATGACCGCTGCGAGTGCTACGCCATTTCTTTTTTGTGTTCTCTACTGGTTTGTATCGTTTCCTTTTCTTTAATTCTTGTTTGTTTGCCGCAGTGTATCCAGAGGATGCATTTGTCTATCACCCTAGCTGGGGAACTAGAGAAGGCCATATTGGAGGCCGCCATGACTGCTGAGAGGTTGACAACAAGTTTGGAAGCCGAGAAGGAGGGACGCAGGACTGCTGAGAGGGAGGTATTTCGTCTGAGCAAGGTTATCACTTCGGCTGAGAAGTCCAAGGAAGCTGCTATTGGGTTCCAGGCACAACTTGAAAGGAAAGTGGCCGAGCTGGAGGCAGTTATTGCGGTGATGGCCGTTGAACGTTCGGCTTTGGAGGCTAAGCACTGGTAGCAACGTTGGGACGGAGCTGGAGTCGCTTATAAAGAAGAGGTGCTAGTATTGCGAGACAAGCTTTTTCTGTAGGGCTGGACAAGTGCTCTGACCACTGCTCAAATTCCTGAAGGGTCTCCTTTGTTTCAAGATATTCCTGTTCCCTCAAAGTCCTTGAGTCTGAAGGCTACTGCTACCCCTGCTACTCCTCCAGCTAAGATTTCCCCAGGAACTGATTCTGCAACCAAGACTCTGGAGAGCGATGCTGCCAATGAAACAGTGAACGTTGAAGAGGGTGAAACCTTGGAAATTGAAGTTGTTTGAGATGTGGTTAAGGAGGCTTCTACTTTCCAGGAAGTTGGGGATGCCTCTACTTTTCCTCCCCAAGATGGTCCGGACAAGATTATGGATGCTACTCCTGGAATTCCTCCTATTGATGAAAGTTGAAGTGAACTTTGGAATGATTTGAAGTTTTTCCTTTTTCATTTTTCTTTTTCTCCTTTTTTACTTTTTTGCTGTACTGGAGCTCGGTCTTCCTGGCGAGTTGCCCCCCTTAAGTTGGTCAAGACAATTTTTCATTCTTCTTGCTGCTGTTTTGTGATGCCAGCTGTGCCTTTGATAGAATTTTCCTTCTGATATAGCAATCTGATATGTTTTGCTTTCATACTTGCTTTGTTTATATTGTTTGTCCTCGGCCGAGCACTGTTGGGTCCACAGGGCCGAATAGATGCTCGGTCTGCATGGTTGCATTGATCTTTGTAATTGAATGAGAGTAACTTACTTAGGTCTAGGTTGACTTCAAGAAAAACAATTGTTTGCCCCCACTTGGAGCTAAGTAAGATTGGTACTGAAGAACTTGCTTTCTAGGAGAGCTGCTTAAGTTGATGTTGATTTTGATAGCATAAGTGCCATTGAATGGGACAAAAAGATGCAAAGGAAAGATGTCATACTTAGGTTCAGGTTGGTACCAAGAAAACAATTGTTTGCCCCTGCCTGGAGTTGAGTAAGACTACTGTTGAAAGTTTGATCTTTGAAGGATTTATCCAAGTCTATTCCAACTTTGT